TTTTTTTTTTTTTTTTTCTTTTAATTCTGCAAAACGTGTTCAAATTGTACGTGCGATCGCAATCTATTAATGGTACTTGACACGTGTAGCACGAGCAATAACAGCGTGCTGAAGAAGTTAACATCGAATGAGTAAACAACTTGAAATAGATATACTTTGAGTTTGTTGGGAAGGGTAGGTTTCTTGCAACGAAGGACGCAGCTTGTCGCGATAGGCCAACTTTAAATTGCGCCGTTGAAACTTTCATCGTGTTCCGTGAGACAGATAACTTAGAACGGCGTTTCACACCGAGAATTCGTGCACGCGTGCCTCGTGAAAATTACCATGTAAAATAGCGCCGTTTGTTCCCCGCCTTATGCAAAGAAGTTCCAGTTAAATTATAAGCTATACTTGAATTGCTGCTTTAACAGGAAATATATGCAGGCCTGTAATAATGTTATACTTAGAAACATCTGCTGATGAAACAATTTAATTAAACGATAAACGTATTGCTGGAGGTGTTGAAGGTTTATTGCATCACCGATGCACGTAAACGGACGTTTATCACAAAATTGTTTACGCGATAAAATTGAATCGAGTGGCAATATTTAATATAAGGTTTGCAAGCAATTTCAATTTTTAGAAAGCAATAATTAAAAAAAAAACTATTGCAATGTTGAAAATGTAATTGGAATGAAAATTGTGGGTACTTTTAATGTACTTTTAATAAAATCTACGTCGCCGGAGCCTTTGCTCCAGTTTCGTGGAAATAGCAAATTCAATTTATATGTCCTTTCGACACCTCGAAATCGAGGTACAGGAAGCCAATAATCGCCGACCATGTTGACATTATTTCGATTTCGCGTTTCGACACACGTGGCCAAATGGAAGATGCTTATCGGAAAGTCAAACTGCAATGCATTGCGCGGATATCATAAAAGTTATACAACAAATGCATTTAATTTGCCGATATTGCGATATCGCTCCGGGGTCCTCCGATAGAGGTATGCAGCGTAATTCCGGTTTTAGTTTTGGATTTCCGCAGCTCGCAGCTTTCGGGTATTAGCTTTTAATATCGCGGTAACTACAAGTTAACTTTGCAACTCTCAAACTTCGCGAATCGGCGAACTACGGAGTCGCGCGCGAGTAGGACCCAGGCGGTAATACTTCATGAGCATCGTGAAACAAAACTGGCACGCACGCGAGTTTGTGCGGGCGATGTATCCGTTGATTAATTTCATTGAGAAACACTCTCAAAAGGCTGAGCTATATTTCGCCGCTCAAAGCTGCAAGTCTGTAATTAAATGGCGTAGCGGCGGACATATTACTCCAAGTAACTAATGTACTAGGATCAATTCTAGTAATGCACCGGACTCGAATACCCAGAAGAAAAGAAAAATTACTTTATCGGTTATCCGAGAGTCGGCCAAGCGGAACGAACCAATTTCGTTCAAGTAAATCATTAGAATTCTCTTTTTTTATCTCATATACTTCTTAATTAATTTAAAAAAGATTTGCTACAATTTGATAAATTACGTAACCGGTAATTATATACGCGAGTCACTTGAATCGGAATAAAATAGAAAAATAATTTATATTTTTTAAAAATTATTTTTTAATATAATCTCCTTTAATTTGGATCAACATTATATCGTTAAGAAACTCTGATTTGTTAATACAATGATATTTGTAAAATATCCGACAATTGCTTTTTTTGTTTAATTTGGCGAAATTTCTCTTTAAAAAGAAATTTTTTTTATTTGTGGATGGATTTTTGTCGGTCAATTTTTATTCGTGGAAGTCAGAGCTAAATCAGGTGAATAAAGTGGACGACTATAAATTATACTGCAATTCATTGATTCTTTTCATTGAAACAATACTAGTATGAGAATTATCTTGTAGCAACGTACTCATCTTGCGGAAAGCTTTTTCATATACAATTCGTCTGTCAAGATATGAAATGCATGTTCAGTTGAAATGTGATTACAGCTTTACCGATTTCAAAAACCTTTTAATTGGCGATCCAAAATCTATATTAATGTTATTTATACTTAATTTCAAGAACTTTTCAAGTAATTAAATAAATTATCAACAAAAAGTGTTGTTTCATAATTTGTTCTATAACTTTGTAATTGCATCACAATTTTAATTTAATTTGCGATAATTATAGCGCTTATTTATAGGATGAAAGAAATTTCTCAAAATTTGAAAATTACAATATAATTTATCAAATAAATAATAAATAAAAAGGCAAAAAGAGCCGTTGCTAGTTATTCATACAGTATAATTCCACTTAATGTACAATGATAAACGTTTCGACCTAAATTAGGCCTTTTTATTGTCACACAAAATACATATAAAGTAAACATAATATAATTTTAAAATGTGTCGAAATATTTCATAAAAGACGAAAGCGCAGAAATTTCGAGGCGTGGAATGAATTCATAAGATTTCCTTGTGCCATTATTCTTAATTAACACCGTAATTATCGGGTATTTTAGTTTGCGCATTATGATTGCGCAATATAATTTATGGATGAGTAATTTTAATTTGTTATGATTGATTGAACAACGCCAAATTATCATTTATATTCCCTGTGAAACTCAGTAATCCCCTTCCGCATATTGTTTCCCCTTTGATGTTTATTGCGAATAATCCCTAATTCGCTGTAAAGAGGCAATATATCTCTGATACTATCTAGCCGCAGAATTTAACCCCTGCCATAATACTATCACCCCCGATTATGACAATGAAGTATCAGCTGCCAGATGAAATCCCGAGGGTCCTAAATCTCTTCGGAGCCCGTCGGGCTGCTTGAAATCGATCGATCTTCATTTCTGAAGAAAGGCGCAAAGTGTAGAACCGCTAGAAGTTGCAATTCTCGGATATGCGCGAGAGAATGACGGCGCGAGGCCGTTCAAGATTGATGTGATAGGCTAAATTAACAGGATGCTCGAATTAATCCATTCTAAATAACCCCGCGTCATCTATCTTACCAGCTCAGCGGAACTACTAGCGACTTACCATGTTTGCTAGGTTTCCCTTCGGTTTTCGTAAGCAATAGAGGATTCAGGAACACACCCTTTATCCTTTAGTTCTGAAACTTTGAGGCCCTCATCAAATATTTAATTATTTCATACAAGATGTTTCCATGTATCGCAAAATGAAAGAGACAGTTTAAAGGCATTGCCGTTTCAATACACTTTGAGTGATAATGTGTGCAGAACGGATTGCTTTATTTTGAAATTTATAAATCAGAATTATGAATTTATAAATTAAAAGTTAAAAGATTTTTGCGATTTTTCTTGTCCGATTGATGAAGTATTTTTGGATAGAAAATTTTAAGAAAATATTGTTTCTGATGTTAGGAATGTTTTAAATATTTGAAACAATTTTTCAAACAATTTTAATCATATATCATGCAATTGTCATGAGCACCGCTGGTTTTATACGTTTAACAATTCCATTCGCAATACCGCATCGCTGAGTACCGTAATTTGCATATGCATAGATAAGATATACGAATATCGTCAAACGTATATTACATAATCCGTCAGATTTAACCCATTTCTAGTTTGCTAATATTTGAATAAATCGGAAGGTAATGTAAAGATAATATCAGAAATTTTGCTCACTAATAGTTACTACGTGCTGCTAATAACATTTGTTAGAACAATTTAAACATTTACCTGCTCGAATATTCGCGATAATTAATAAATTTATAAATTATACTTTTTTTGCGTGTGTGAAACCGTATTGTAAAATAACACTCGCAACACACAAGTCATTTTTAGATGTAAATTTCCGACCTCTGAAAAGCGACGGAAAAACTTGAATCAATACTTTCGTTACGTCGCGTACAATCGCATAAAATCTTGGCGGGAGAAAAAAGCAACGTTGTTTTTACGTAGCGCTCTTGCCGAAAGCGTTGAGAACCGACGGGGAACAATGGATCTGATTAATGTGTAATAGTATCAGCGATACACAGGTACGTGCAAGCGGCGGTCAGTCAATGGCCGCAATTTACACCATCAGCTTTCTGATTGTATCTAATGGTAGTATTCTGCCGGCGTAGCCGCTTGATAGCTCAGAACGGGAGCAACTCGATAAATTGGTACGGAGGTTCTCGTGACGCCACGGTCCATATGGAAATTGCGCACTTCTGTTTAGCGATGTGCTCGAATCTCTTGGCGGAGTCGAGGAGAAGATCTTGGAACTGATGGAGAGGGAAATTAGCAAGACGCGAGATAATAGTCCGCTGAATATACCTCGCCGGGATGCGTCTCGGTGAAGTAGCATCGGGCTGCCGGACAATTTGTCTTCGCCAACCCTTATCGCGCTTCGGCCATCTCAGCGTCGCAACAGGTGTTCTCCATGTCACATAATGCAGATGCCGAAGAAACTAATTTCTTAGCAGTAACTGGTCAACGTTATCGCGATAACGCGCGACATAATTTTCCGCTCGCAATAATATGCCACATGATGACATAATGGTAAAAGTTAATTCGAATTATTGTATCGCCTAAAAATATAACCGTGTAAAAGAATGTTGGCTAATGTTGGGAGCAGCTAAATGTTTTGCGCTAAAAGCAGTTAAGTCAAAATCGGCCTTGCAAAGCCGAATCCGTTAATACGACGGATCGCACTTATTATTCATCGGACGAAAAATCTTTTTTATTTACTTTCAGATACTATTTGGCCACTTCGGAGCACGAGTCGGCGGTTCAACATTTATATAGAGTGTCCCTGCTGGATCCGGAGCACAAGTCGGTGTGTTTGACTTGCAGTATTGTTAGAGAAAGGGATGGCAGCCGCTGTTTGTACAATAGCGCTAAATTCTCCACTGACAATTCGCATTACGTGCTCACTTGCGCTGGGCCTGGAGTACCCGACATATCCATCTACAATAAGGTGCGTATATTCATCCGCGCTGACACCTCTGTAGATCTTACAGTTTCCGAAGTTCAATTTGCAAGAAATTTTCTGCTAAACCGAAAGCTACGACTGATACGCAGAGATAAGAGTTCTGCACTATTAACCGTTTAATTAACAGCGTACGTTGAACGAAAAAACTGAAATGATTCCGATAATTTAGCGAAGAGTATGTAAAATTAGAATTTTCAAAATAATTTGAAATTTGAAAATAGCGAACAAAACTCATCAGAGTGAAACTCCAATTTCACAAACCGGGAGAATGTAATGGATATCTCGTATGGATTCTCGTCTTCTCCGTTCTAATTCTAGCTTTGAGTTCAACGTTATTGTTGCGGAGCGTGTTTGATACGTTTCATCAATCATCACGTTGTATGCAGTCCGGATTTCTACAAATTTGATACGAATAGAGAGAGAGGAGGGAGGGGGGGGGTGAGAGAGGGGGAGGTAGATTCTGTGAATTTCCTTTTGTTCTCGCTTTTGCGTCGATGTAACTCTCCGCGCGTTTCACAAATTATTACATTATACCCGGAACCGCAAATAATGATCTTTCGTATCGCGCGCGTGTGCGCGCGCGCGCACGCATTTGCATATGATATAGACATATGGATGACGCGGCCGCGTAATTCTGCTAGTGAAAGGTACACGATCCGCGGTGGCCGCTATCAGACAGTCGAATCGAATAAATTTTGTTACAGCAATAGAATACGCAAGTACTACCACGACCCGGGATTTAGTCCCCGGCGTTGCCGCGCGGGTAATATACGAGCGGCTTGCGCACCGCACTCTCTCGCCGTGGCGGTACAAAGCCCGACCGAAATTCCGCGCGCAAAACACATTGCACTCGCGATACCATTCGTTCGGCCTAATCAGATCGAAATCACGACGAGACGGATTATCGCGACATTGTTGGTGACTCCGCAAAAGCAGAATGATACACGGAGCGTAGCGCGACGCTGTAACCGGCGTAATAACGCTGCGTTAAGCTTGCAAGTGCTTTCGGTGTAAATATTCTCGTGTTGCTTTTGAAACCGGTATCCCCACCATAGAAAGAGAACACACAAAGCGGAAGCCGTTTATGTTGACGCGAACGCGTGTGCTACTGTCACGCATGTTCGACAGTGCAATTAGAAATTTTACAGTGATCAATCAGAGAAATGCAAAACGAACTATTTGCGATGAATTATCGAAAAACTCTAAAATAAACTATCATCGATATGATTGAAGTGATGGCGCTACAAGCTGTCGAAATTTTACTTTTCCAGTGTGAATGGTCGCTATCTGACCGCTTGTCCGTAAACGTTTTCGATTCGGTCACGTTTTGTATCAACTTCCAATTTCGCTACGTAAATAAAACACGTTGAGAGAAATGGTGCAATCAACAACAAGTGTGTGCTGGCTGGAATCGACGATTCAGAAGCGTTGCGTATAAATTTAATAACTTATAGAGTGGACAATACATTACAATATAAAACAAAATTCATTACTTGTTATTTTTTTTATATGTGTCACAAAAGAATGAGGCGCGATTGGAAAGCTGATTAAATAACAGAATCTTTTGCGCAATTTTAATAATTTTATATTAAACGAGATTTCCATCGCAATTTAACATCGAAATGTCCAATTAAAATGAATTCGTCGTTATATAAATTTACGTTTGAGGAAAACAACATCCATCGTATTGTTCTTATAATTTTCCGATGAATTTTCGATCCGGGATGACTTTAGCATAAGGGTCTAAGTCTATTAAAGAAGCACTCTTTCTCCTAAAGACCGACCTTTCTCTTCTTTCTTTCCAGTTTATCTATAATCTATCCATCCATTTGCTTATTCGCCAATCTACCGGCGCGTTCCGCCAACCTTGGAGGAAAAGTTTGCGGTCGGATGAAAGTTTCATTACTCTTTCGATAATCAAATTCCTCCGTCGACTTCCCGTGGTGACAGACGGGTCGAGGCATCGTAAATTGCGAGACGAGAAAAAAATGGTCGGGCAAAAACAACGGCGGATTATTCATACATAAAGGAGTCTGCGAGCAAATTTTAAAAAATTAACATTTGTAATAATTGAATCTCCGTTGAAATGAAAATTACGTGCGTTTTCTGCTTTGTGCCATATTTAAGTCAGAAAAATTCTAGTTTAAAAAATATAAAAATATAATAAAACATTTTTTGCAACAGTGATTAATATTCTTCTAGTTTTTGCTTCTTTTTTATCTTCAATATTAGTAAAATTTTAATATTTTTTATTAAATAATAAGTTTCTTTTCTTTTATCAAGTTTTCTAATATAATAAAATCTAAATTATAGGCACGTAATTATGTTGAAACCTAAATTACGTTGCACCTAGTTTTAAAATGTCTCAATTTGCCTGCGCAAATATAAAATATGTTCGATATACATCGAACTATCTCATTTGTAATCTGATTATCGGAGCGACAGACGGGGAAGGAGAAATGGAAGTCGTCGAAGACTTGGCGGACGGCTAACGTAAGAACGTCGAGAACGAATCCACGTGCTTTATCACGATCGACGGAGCAAAAATCTGACTATCCGGCGCTTTTATCGCTTATTTTCGCACGGCCGCTTAATGCTGATAATTGGTCTTCTCGCCCGGGGAGCCGTCGACAATGAACGCTAATCCAATTACGTTAAAGAGCGACCTTGCCGATGAAATTCGCGCTTTCGAACCACACGAATCGATCCGCTGACGCTTTCCTCCAACTTCGGTTTTAATTAATGCGGATATAAATCCTTGCATTTCTCTCTTGCTTCGTAACGTCTACGTGGAGTAATTATAGATAATCTATTAATGCGCTTGGAAGGTGCCGCGGAAGCGTGGCGTTTGTTAAATTTTAGACCACGCAATCAACGGTACTTGAAGTCTTGTTAATCACTCTTTTCAAAGTGTAATTAGTGAATTTTTCGTTTGAAATAATTCTTTTTTATCGCATCTGTAATTTTTATATTTTTCCTTTTTTTTTAGTTAGAAATTTGTTATTATCACAATGAAAGATTTATCTATTTTATTTATCGTTCTGACAAATTATGAAAGATTGGATTGCGTTTTGTAAATCAAAATATTGGAAAACATTCGTTAACGGATTATAAATATCTCATTTTCATTCAGAATATTCCGTATAAAAGAACGCTTTGAAATTACATGCTAATATGTGTTTTTAATGAAATTTTTGCAGGGAATAATAGAGTAATTTGTTTTACGCGAATATTGCACATCCGTGCACGAAGTCGCAAACACGCACGTGCAAAATTCTCTCTGGAATCCCTTTGTCGATCTTCACTGCACTTTGATGCGATTTGTGAAGCACTCTTGCATGCCGATCCAATTACATCGATATTATGATATCGGCAATTATCGAAATTTACAAAAGGCGTAAAGTGATGCCAATTGATGGCGTTCAATCTTCCGTTATTCCACTTCGTTACTTTCTATTGTGCTGAAGCGACTTTTCACCGCGTGACTAAAAATTCGTATGTATATATTTTAAGTAGCGAAATTTTTCGATCTATTTGAAATCTTTTTAACTTCTTGTATATTAACGATCGCTTTCGATGTCGTATGAATTTTCACGGAGGTTGATATGTCGCTCTTGCAAAACAATAAATAACTTCCGTTAAATTCATGCGCGTAAGTTCAGCGAGTGCGTCGTCATTCTTCACTCACTCTGTCGCTCTTCTTTAAAATTTGATCAATTTACTTTACGCTGTATGCAGTATACACGCGAATTTACTGCCGCGATATACCCGGGCGCAGCACATCCGAGCGGGAGAAAAAAAAATTTATCCGCGTCTGAATCGAAAATCGATATCGCCGTGTCATATCGCGATCACCGTGAGATTCTCACAAAAGCCGGAAACCTCACACAGATCGCCTGTCATTCAGCGAGGGAAACTTCGGCAGCGCGCGGATCCGCGCGGCGAGCGCCTGGGAAAAAGTTTCGCCGCGATGCAAAATCGAGATTCACCGTCAAACGACGGCGAACTCCGCTGAGTGCTCGGCGTACAAAAGCGCAGATTGCGCGCTACATTTGCCCCGACCCCCGGGGCATGGAACTCGCGGGTAAACTCGGCGCAAAAACGCATCCGGCAACTTCGACGGGCAATCGCAAGCGAGAGGAGCGCCCTTCGCCTTCGCCGGATCGTTCGACTTTTCTAATGCAATTTTTTACCGGGCTATATACCGCGCGCACCTTCTTCTCCCCTTTCATTCGACGAGAGGGAAAGAAAAAAAAAAACTTCGGACAACTACTTGCACAAGTGGCCGCCCTTTGAACCGAATCGATTCCGATTCAGCAAACCGTGGTGAGGGAACGCCGACTGAAGTTGCAAAGCACTTTGGGTAAGGCAAACCGCTAAACGTTCTTCTGGTCTTACAACTTTCCCACAAGTTTGCGGTGTTTCTGAATGTGTTGACGGTGTTATTCTCTGCTTTCGGTGTAATCTATTATGGTTATGCCGACGTCGGAGCCGGCAAGTGACCGGCGATTGATGGTGTCTAAGAGGCGGATAAAGATGAGAGGAAAATCGGGCGTTAGGAAGATGGATGCGTCGCTTATTACGATGCGCATTGCATACAAATTGGCGAACGAGATTAATCTGTCTACAAATTACATAAGAATATCTATTCATATTATAAAGATTTTGTTATACATAAAATACAAATATAAAGACTAGATTTTATCTATGCCGTTGGATTAATTCAAAGGTTTCGTCATTCTTATGTGAATGCATACTTTCTGTTTTCAGAATTCTACGCTACTCTTCGTATGGGAGGACAACGCCATGGTGACTGACGTGATAGTCGAGAGATCGCAGCCAATCGTCCATAGATACAAAATCCCGGTTCCCGGCGGCTTTCACGCCCAGGTGAGGCTCCTGATACCACCCGGTGCTGATTTGAGTGGCGCCACCAAGTATCCCATGCTGGTTTATGTGTAAGTTTTCTCCAAAAGAAATTTTTTCTCTCTCCGATAAAGATATATACGATCGCTACTTTCCACGTTTGCTGCGTAAGATTGCATAATTCGTTTAATCGTATAGAAAAATGCATTATCTATGTGTCTTACAATTAATGGTATTATAAATAAAATAAAATTTTTTTTAAATTTTATTATTAAACATAAATTGAGACGGAAACTTTAATAATATATGCATTATATAGTCATCTTGGCCCCGCAAGTACTATAAAGATTTCTCGAGATTTTCAGTGGAAGACACGCGCGCATGCATATTCGACCAATTTAAACTCATACTTAGATCGTTTAGATACATATGTTCCGGCGAATTGTCGTGTTCAACGCGAAGGTACTTTCTAACCACATATCAACTAACAAAGTTCTTACATCCACTTTTCGGCGTCGCGTATATCTCAGCGTTCAACTTAAAAGCACCCATATTTTCCGCATCACGACAAGAAATGTGACAACGCACTTCGCGGGCATCATCAATCGGTTCCGTCATAATGCACTCGCGAGATAAGCGTAATGGAGAGCAGTGACGAACGTGTAGCAGCGGAACGCAATCTGCACCGTGACGTGAAAACGGAGCTCTCCTTTACGTGGCCTGAATTAGGACGGGATGTAAAACCACGAAGCGATGAGTCATTCCGTATTCAGTCTCACGAACGAAAACTTCAGCAGCTTCCCCGATAAAAGCGTAATATTATCGATTGCTCGGCACGTTCATATTTTTTCTGACCATATTAGTGAAAAAATAAATGATAAAAAAAAAGAGGTTTGAAAATCAAAAACATATGGCGTCTTGCATGCGTCTGACTCACATTCCATTTTTGGATCTTACTTTCCTGATATTTTAAGCATCATATTTTTTATGTTTTAAATATTTTTAATACATTTATATTCACGCGAAAAGAAACATATACTTTTATATATTATCAAAACTACTGTAAAAAATATTATTTATTTTTTCCAGTTACATTCATGCAAATTGGTAGTAATTTTTTTTTGCACAATTGGATTTTCTTTTTAAAAATTATTAGTCATTATTTTGTAAAGGTCTGCGAGTTTTTCATGTTTTTTTTAGCGTTCAGAAAAAGCACATGTACGCGTCGCCGGCGAGCACGACGCTCGAGGCCGATATAACTTTTCAGCGTAAATCCTAATAACACCTAATTTGTAGGCGGTCCTAGCCAAGCTCGAACTTTTGAAAGACCTTATGTAGAAGTTGCTACGATGTCCGTCCCTAAAGTGCAAGCTTTCCGTTGCGCATTAACGGTTAAGTTAGGCAAAGAGAGTAATGCGATCGTTTTCCTCTTGCTTGAAGTAGTCAAACTTTAATTTGATAGATATAAAATCACAAATACTTATATATCTAATATTGAAGTCTTGAAAAGATCTCAACAATGATAATAGCAGCATTTTATTTTTAGAATAATTCGTCGAGTATATTTTCCAAAGAGTTTTTGAACGAGTTTAATTTATATATGATAATTCTTAGATTTTTTATACTTTTAATAATAATTTGTTCAAATTTTTAATTTTTTGTATATTTAAAAAATTTTTCTAATATTTTTTTACGCAAGAAAAAGGTAAATAATAGAACACATTTATACTTTTAATAAAATTTTTTTGTGGACAATTAATAAAGAATTAACGATTTAAATTTATGTAATAATAACGCCGATGTCATACTATCCATATTGGTGCTTAACGTGAACTTTTACCGACTATAAAAATGCGAAATAGTTGCAAAGTGGTGCATTGCAATTAAAAGTTAAGCTCATAGAAGAGCTATCGCAATTGCCGCAGTGGATACGTCTCGTTCGCTTGACGATGGCGAATGAAGAGAAGTTTGAGTTTCTACCGTTCGCTTTATCGTCGAGTAATTGTACTGTCCTTGTGTTTGAAACGGTATATTGGATCGCGCGGAGTTTTCACATATCGCATGTATTCGGGCAATTGCTTGTTCTCTCTGGTTTTCAGTTAAATTTTCTATGTCTGAATCATCGATCCATGATGTTCAGCGTTCATGATACATTCCATTTTTGCCGTGGTTCATGGTTTATCGGGTTCCACGCCAAATCTTTTAGACGCAGTTAAACAAATATTTTCTTTTAATATTTGCAGATCAACAAACTGCTATATTTTGAATGCGCGACTCCTCAAACTATTATTGTTTGATGTCAAAAATAAAAAATTTAACAAAAAGAGGCAATTGAAAGCAACAATACATGAGATGTTATCGTTATCGATACTTTTTCAACGGCGCGTTGTATATTTGCGTTAGTGTTTAAATTTATTATAATATATTTTAAACAGTAAGTAAAATAATAAAAGAAGAAATAATTTCTTGTGTTGCGTTAGAAAGGATCATTTTCCTTTTTTTCTCTTTGTAAAATATACAGTAGCGGCAAACGTTTTAAGATTCTGTAGTACCGTTTAATGACATTAGTTCTCTATTTTCACGCGTTTCTGCACTTGACGGATTTTCCATGTGAGCCCCGGTATCAGTCTTTGTCGCCGCGATGTAGTAACATCGGCACGATGAAAAGCACTGTTAGATATATCGCGTTTCAGCTCTCATATCCACTTTATCCAATTCACTTTATTATAAGGACATAAAGTACTGTCACGTGATTACATCATTGTCTACGAAAATAGCACGGGATTATACGCCATTTACGTACGTGTATTACAGGGATCGCTGTGGATCAGCATAATATCCGCTATCCACCGCGAGTTTGAAGCGCAATATGAAGCGCTAATTCTTTAATGATATTTGAATAAATATATTTTGTTAAACCGACGATGCTCACATTTTTTGCACGAATTAAAATATAATTAAAAAAGAGTACATAAATAATTTTTAGACTTCAAAGAAACATTAATCATTTTTTCCACGTGTAAAATTTAAAACTACATTTGTCAATCTCAAATTTAAAATGTCGGAAAAGTTGTTATGGCTTAACACCGATTAATTACATTAATTATATCGATTATAAAAGTGATTTATTTGTTTTCTCAGCGTTTTTACTTTTTTTCTACTGGCATTTATCGCTTTCCTGCACGAGCCGATCAATAGAGCAGATCATCGGTTATCATTACAGTATTCTTCGCTTCGATCGTTATGACATTTCATGATACCGTCGCGCCTCGTATCGCGTCATTCTCGGGAACATTCGCGTTTATATCACGCCATCCTTGGGATCGTTACTATCCGTTTCTATTTCCGCGTCAGAGTCGACCCTGCTATCTGGAAAATGCCGTATCAGAAAAGCCATCTTCGCCTTCGAACTTCCATTTCCTAATTCTCGCCGCGGTTTGATTCTCTTTGTGCATTTTCTTCTTCGAACATCTTTCACGAGAGTCTCCCAAATGGCACCAAGATTTTCCGCAAACGACCGTAATGAGCGCGAATGCCGAGAAAATTATACGCTAAACAACGAGGAAAATTGCCGGCCATTCTGTTAAGTCTGCTTGCGATGGTAGAATTAAGATTTTTACTCGAGAAACAGACCGATTTGACCAATAAAAGTTGTTCATATATTTTTTTCTATTTTAATTCGTACAAATGTGAAAGAGTGAAGCATTGCGTAAAATAAGCGAATTCGTGTGTACGCGGAGTTGCGAGCAAACGCAGACGATCGGAAAATGTCGCGACAATAATATGACGCTAAAATGTGCATCACGCAATCTGTCTGCTTTTCAGATACGGTGGACCGGATTCGTATCAGGTGACGGAGAAATTTAACATCGACTGGGGCACGTATCTTGTGACAAACAAAAGTATCATATATGCCGCTATTGATGGCCGCGGGTCCGGATTAATGGGTAACGACATGATGTTTGCTGTGTACCGGCACCTCGGCACCGTCGAAATTATCGACCAGATCAACGTCACTAGGTGAGTCCATTGTTGCAAAATAATTTCAAATTTATAAGCGTCAACTTTCAACATTAATCGCCGAAGAACGAATGCAATTTGCTAAAAAATAAACGTTTATCAACAAATTAACAACAATAACTCTAATTTTTCTTCTCTCAAAATCTCGAATCTAATAAAATCTTTTCCCAAACGTTCTTTCTTTCATCGTGACAAATTTTCTTGCAACTTTTAATTTAACCGTGTTAGTGAGAGCGCGCGAGAAATGTTTATCGTTCATTTTATTAACTTTTAAGGTTTAGTGCTTTCTTCAATTTTAGTTGAACTTTTCTTTTTCGAGAAAAGCCTAACTCGGAACAAACGCGCTCGTATCCTCGCGCTTAACGTTAGGGCGCATATTCGTTTAGACGTAGAAGAAACATTACATCGTTAACCCGAGATTGCCTCGGACGTACACTTAGCGAGCTGTTGCGGGATAACTCTCGACGGTCGCGTAACGAACGAGCGCGCCTTCAGCGGGCGGAATCTGACGCCGAACCCGCACGTCCAGCATCATCCCCTAAAAGCACGGCGAACAAAGTTTCGCTTCAGGACAAACCTAATTATAGGCGAAACCTCGTCGCGTCCCGAAGTGACTTATCGCCACGCGATCGGGGTAATCCGCTAAACCCCAAGTTAACTAATCTAACTCCGGCTCCCCGAACGCGCGTCCATAAACGCGCGCAAGCACCGCGTTTAATGAAGTTCTTTTCACGGCGCGAACACCTGAGAGCGCCGCCGCCGCCGCGTTAACAAGAAGAAAATTGCTCGTACTTTTATCTGAATTTATCGGCTGACCCTCTTCTTGCCGCGCCGTCGAGTGGCGGGTGCTACGAAGAAGAGCCGGGCTCTCTCCGCCCGTATTTCCGCTGGCTGCCGCGAGTAATTTATCTCGATGGCGGTGGAACGAACGGGCACCGGTAGCGAGAGTTCGCCACTTATACGCTCGTCTATCTTTAAACCGAAACATCAAACTTCCGGCCGTGATGAATAATGCCTATTTCGCGCCGGGGGCATCATATTTTACCGTTTAAGCGACAACGCGGCGACCGCCAAACCGCAAACTTGACGCCGCGCGTAGGCTGGCGGTTCCGCAATCTCTGTGAGGAATCGCTGGAATTTAGTTAATAACAACAGGGAATTGGCGAGAATGACGACGCACGACGATCTTCAAAGTAAATAAATTAGTAGACACGAGACAAAAATACGTAATGAACCTTAGTGCAATCGAATATTAATTTTTTCTCCCCCTCATCTTTTTGTAATTTTATCAATTCTGAAGTTTTAACTTATTTTTCCTTTTGATTACATTTTTATGCGAATAATATTAATAATAACAGAAATATTTCTCTCTCAACGCGAATACTTATTTATCCTTTATGTGTACACGAGAAATGATTTGTTTTCCCTTACAATACAAGAGCACAATAGAGATAAAAGAAGAAAACGAAATTACTACGGTAGAGCTAATCCAGTTCTCCGCGAACGATTAGTGATTTCCCCTTTCTTTCTCTAAAAAAAAAGCCACGGAATTCTACTTTTTTCAGAGTATCGATCCATTTTCTTTCCAAGTGTCCATAAAATACGAGGAAACCCGAGGAACACCTGGCTACATGTTTTACGTTCAATTTACTTGAATATTGAGCACATCAAGTGGCATCATCGACGAGCCCTGTACAACGCTTTTACCAGGAATTTATTTTTAAAAATGTTCAACCCCTGCTGGGATAAAGCGAAGATTTGCATGTACCAAATATTAGGTATCTTCGGAACTTTGCGTATCGAAAGCAAATGTAAACGGTGCATACGCTTAATCGCTGGTGTTCGCCGCCTATCGCCGGATCCCGCGACCGTGAGAGCGCGCAGAGACATTCGTGCGCGAATACACAAATGGTGTATTCCATCCGCACACGCGCTTCCCCCGGAATCTACGCCAGGGTGTTTTGCCGGTGCATCGCATGGCGTCCGGCTCGTAAAAAGCGAGTCGTGGAGCGAGTTGGCGGCGGTCCAAACGATTGCGGAATCGTCCGACTCTCTTCTGCCCGCGATCCGTGTAACGCGCGGTCTCTCTTCCCCCCCCTCCCTCCCTCGACCCTCCCGCACTCCGTGTCGCCCTTCCTACGTGCGCCAACCCTTAACGAAACCCCGCGTTTTGTCTCCTTTTTGCCGGCCTTTGTTCCATCATCGAATCGGCTCACCAAGCCGTCTAACCAGTCTATCGCTTTGTTGCTCCGCCCGCTAGTTCTACGATGACCTAATTGGTGAATAACGAGTGGTTTAACCAGAGTTGAAGTCCGGGGACGCACTTTTCGTAAGTGAAATGATCCTTTGAAAAAGAAACAGAAAGCGGTTAATTGTCCGAGGAAGAGGCCAGATCCACGTAAGCGTTTGTAATTAGTCTCTCAATCGAGTATTGCAGAACTAGAGAAATCCAAAAGAGATTGTCGAAAATTACCGCAGAACGGTGTATTCGTAGAGAAGATTTTTGTACAGGCAGTATTGTGCGACTTTAATTATTTAGAAAAAGGAAAGCTATCCGAAAGTACTGGAATTCGATTATTTTGCGATTTTCAAAAAAAAATGGAAAATATGTTATATATTGTCAAAAAGTAACAAGACGTTGCAATTTAAAAGTCTATTCCTTCACTTGTCAGTATTTTTATCACGCTTCTCGTTGATCCCGCTTAATCCCGTCGAAATCCCCTTGAATGATTTAAATCCGGACGTAATGTATTTGCGATTTTATTTAAAGCGCCGGAAAAATCCCTGCCTTAAATTCGCGCGGCGATCGAATCGTTGCGCTCTCGATACGTAAGCGACGGGCAGGCACAGCGAAACAAAGGGCCGCCCGGGATGCCGTCGTAGGACCGAAATACGTATCCTAGGATACGTAACGGGTGCGAGCCGCAAAACGAAAGAGACGACCGCCTCGGTCCGAGTGCCTCTTCTCCTCCTCGCGTCTCTTCTTTTTTCCTCGCGGGAAGAAATAGAATTCAACGTACCGCCGGTCGATTTACGAGGTAAATAAATTTCAGGCTAGCGAGGGGGGAGGGGCGGGGGGGGGGGGAGCGAAATCTGCCGCGCGTCGCTGTACGAGTAGTCGTTACTATTTCCACAGGCGGTCGACCGGCCGACCGACCGGTCGGTTGGTTGGCGTGGGCGCTGATCCCACCGGAGCCATTATTATCGAACACACGAGACAATAGCCCGAAAAGATTGGAGGGAAGGAAGAAATACGAATTCTCTCCTTTTTTTTTCTTCCCTTTCCCATCGGGAAGGCAATGCGCGACCGGCGCTTTACGCGCGAAAACCCGGATTTCCGGAGAATCAAGATGCGGCACTCGATCTGAGAAGCATCGAAAAAGATGCACAAGGCGTCCCAGCAGCATCGCCGCGATTCTTCGGTCAATTTTTTTCTAAAAATATTGCGATTCAATTCCATTTGTCAAAATCCTTTTTTTGTTTTTTGTAATTTTACCAGGCCACGCAAGCGCGCGTCATTTTCTCAAGTTATATAATAATTTGCATTTTTACTTTCTTCTAGACACTTCGGTTTTTTCGTACAATCACAAAGAGATACAAGCTATCAAAGCCTGTATTTCCGCGAGTACGCTTATTTGCACTTCAGATTTGATTTAGTTATATTTTTATTTCGACATCGTACTCTGAAGAATATTGATCCTCTACCACGGCGGCATCTATAGCGTCTTTAGATCTTTTCCTTCGCTTTTTGCAGACATTTGCAGGACAAATTGCCCTTCATCGACCGTACCAGGACAGCGATATGGGGTTGGAGTTACGGTGGATACGCGACCGGCATGACACTTGCCATGGATTTAAAGGGTGTCTTCAAGTGCGGCATGTCCGTCGCGCCCGTTACGGATTGGGCGCTTTACGGTAAGTTACAGGATAATTGATCGGTAATTAATCGAACTAATGGCACAACGCGATGGTGATTTATTTCTACGCGTAATCTACAGTTATTTGAGAGAAGGGGGGAGGGGATAATTTAATACTGTAAACCGAAATTGTTTTGACAAAACAAATGATCTATTCCTTAAATATAATAATTTCTTATTATTATAATTGTAATTCCTTCTTATTCCTTATTCCTTAAGTAATTTATTGCATGGTAGAGTTTTATTAGTACTTCGACATTAATAAGAAATAATTGGTCACCATTAGCATTTCACGCGGGCAGCAAAGTGCCAGCATTATGCTCTTCGCTATAAATGGACGCTGTCAGGAAAGTTTAGTTGCGGAGAGTGCGACTTACTCGAAATGACACGCGCTAAGCTTATTTGGTCTTAGGATTTGTCCAAGAATATTTTACATGCCGGCGTTCTAATGAAGAAAAGTATGTTCAGCGGAGAAGACGCGCCGCTGCAGCTTTAATGTTTCGCTTTGTTTCCTTTTTTTTAAGCTACTTTAAATTCATGTCAGCATTACCTTTTCTCATTAGAGCACGCAGGAAAAATAGACGTGATTTACAGGGTAGTGTTAAAAAGACTTATGCAGCGTCACAGTTGTGCAATTCCTGCATAAAATATTTCACGCTGCATAACAGCGCAGTGCAAGCCCATTTTTCCTTTGTTTTGGATACTCTTTTAGGACACTTGTGCGCTGTTTTATAAATCTGACAATAACAATTGTTCAATTGCAGATTCGATTTACACCGAACGGTTTATGGGCTTACCAACCGTCGCCGATAACCTGCAGGGCTATGAGCGGGGCCAGCTGCTCAACAAGGTTGAGAACATTAAAAATAAGATGTACTATCTGATTCACGGAACTCTGGACGATAATGTGCATTATCAACAATCGCTCATGCTTGCGAAAGTCTTGGAACAGAAAGACATCCTCTTCAGACAGCAGGTATCTCTTCCCGTTTCTACAGATATCAAAATAATATGATAAATATTTTACATAAATAATAATTACTTTACTTTACTAGAAATGATAATTATAATACATGTATATTTAATTATCATTATTATAATTTAATTTTGTGTATAAAAAAATGGCAGTTTGTTTGTTAAAAGAAAGTGACGTTTGGTAGGCCTAGAATTTTAGAAATGGAATGTTAAAATATATATTTTACTTATTTTTATAATTTAGAATCTTTCATTATAATATTTGATTAGCCTAGAATTTTAGAATTTAAATTTTCTTTGCTGCGATGCATTAAAATCTTATATTTTAAAGAAAGAAATGGTCTAGAAAGTTAAAATGTAAAATTTTAATGCATTGCAGTATAGTTCTAGGCCTACCAAATGATATGATGTACAATTCTAAGGCATAAAAATAAATAAAATATACATTTTATTTGTTTTTTTTTATCTCTTTTATATTTTAAAAACTAAATTGTGTGCAGCTCACGCAATTGTGTTCTAATTTATAACAAGTTTTATTTGAAATTGATAAATTATCAATCGCAAAGTATCTCGTGATCCACAAATGAGAAATTCATAAATGTGCAAATGTCGCTTTACAGACTTACACGGACGAGGATCACGGTATCGCCCAATCGCGAGCACATCTTTATCACTCGCTGGAAAACTTCCTCGACGAATGCTTTCAGACGTCGTCATGATCGGATCATGGAATAGTGATGACAATCTAGATGCTGTACACCACTTGCCTCACACTTACCACTTGTAAATACTTTATCACATGTACATAGTTTATGTACGATATGTAATATGTGCGTTTAGAGAGAGAATGTACATAGCGGTATGAGATTGCCGAGGGAGTGAGAGAATGCGAGGAAGAGAGCGAAAATACGATGAGAGATAGAATAATTAGGCATCATTTGTCACGGAACTACACAGGGCTGGTCTGTGAGAAGCATCTTTGATACGTTTTTTAAAGGTACCCGATCAAATGGTGCATCAAAGGCCTAATAACGACGCGGGACCCGTCGTCTCGCTGTTTAGACCTCAAAAAGTACTAGAGTATATATTGTGTATCGTTGCAGCTCGTACTTATATTCGCAGATTGTTTTATCTCAGCATATCGGAATCGACGCGCGAGATGTTACTCTCCAGATGGTCAAATGGATCGATCGATTTAACACGACGCGTCGCGACGTCGGGATGTTTTAGATCGTCGTGAAGTGTAAGGCGCAATTTTTCGTCGTTTAATCCTGATCGAATTATTATTTCATAAATCTGCGATGTGTGTGTGTAACTTTAACATAATTTGAAAAAATTTTATTCACTTCTATCATTATGTTAATCATCAGAGCCGGGTCTAGACCCTGTAACGTTTTTGTGCAATCTTTATACGAGCATCCCTCATCAATACCAAAATGGACCAAATAAAAAGCAAACCAAGTAAGGTAGAATAATTTTATTAATATATAAATAGAGAAAGGGACGCCAGCCCTTTTTAGCTGATCAAAATTTGTCTGACAGACTAAAATATTACAAACCACTAGCACAAAAGCAGCATCTTTCGGAGGCATCCCTCTTTAAAACTCCCTCCCCTTTTAAGACCGGCTCTGTTAATGATAAAATAATAATGAAGTGGTTAATTATAGTGTAAACCACTTCATAATCTGTGAATCAATAATTTTAGAACTTATTTTAGAATTTCTTTTAGAAGAAACAAAAATTTTTATGTTTTCAAATTAAATTAATTGAATACATTTAACTATCTGGAATATTATGTTCCCTATCTACATATTTTCTTTGTTACTGTACCCGTAGTCTTTTGACACAACATTAAAATAAGTTGACACAGAATGTTCACATATATGAGTTCAGTGTTACTATCTCGAGATTATTGCTTCTTGATATTTCTGGAGACATATAAGCTAAATTTTCTGTCATATTTAAGATAATTAAAAGAATTTTTTTTAATTGAGAATTTCATGCAATTTAGAAATCACGGAATAGAATCCTTAAAATACTTTTGGTATGATATGAATTATTCTTTTATTTATGAATAATTTATCATCAACCATGAAACATTTTTGTAATAAAATTAAAAATTGAAGTACACTTTCTGTGTACGCTTCCCGACAATAATCAATGGTATTTTAAAATATATTACTTCTTAACAACTTGTTCAACGTGACGTATAAATTATTCGTCTCTAAAAAGCGTCTGTCAAATATTTACAATATCATAATTAAATCTTTGATAACAAATTTATAATTAATACATAAAAAATAAGTTTCTTTTTTAATGCAACAAAGCATTTTCTGAACTCATATATGTTATCTTAAGGCTCTGGAATACCTGGCAAACATATAAAACTTTGATGTATAAAGGATACATTTATGATACATGATATGAATGATCAATATTAATGATGCATAATTATATCGTTGTGCTAATCAGAAGGCTCGACGATATAAGAATATTGTACAAGCACAATCTTGCCAATTGAACTCTGTAACATTCGCCGACAATGTAGCTAATATATAAAAATCAAAATTTTTCCTATATAAAAAAAAAGTGAGGTGGAGCTAATTAATTTTTTGAGATATATTTAGAACTGTCCTTATAAAGCATTGTGATATTTGCAATTTTAAACAACACATACCAACATAAAACGCAGTATGGTAACTAATGAAGATTATATGAAAAATGATGACCAACCTCCACACTTTCAGAATTGACAAAAATGTAAAAGCAATGTTTTGTAATGATCTATAGTTATAGATATCATTGAATTATTTTTCTCAGCAAACCGCGTTGTACGTTTTTTGGGAGAGATATTTCACTATAAAAATAATATGTACAAAAAATACATTCCCATAAAGAAAATATATAATAGTAAGTTTTTAAAAACAAGTTTTTAAAAACATGTTTTTTATAAGATATATATTACGCGCTATCGAATATATAATATTCGAAAATATAAATCGCATTTAATAATAGCACTGTTACAAAAATATTGATCATATTATTTTAATATATAGAGTATTTCAAAAACAAGATGTGTGTTAATAATAAAATACTATCTTTTAAGATTTTTGGGATCGATTTTATTATCGCAAAAGTTGCATAAAAGTTATTTAAATGACAATTCTTAAATTTTTTTAAGGATAGACATAATAAAAAAAAAAACGAGTTTTTTTGTATGCTGCATTTTAATTTTGAAAGAACAAGAATTTATGTATTTCACATATCTATTCTTCTGTTGTGAACTTTTTCAATATTAATGCTTATGCTATGCTTAATTGTGTTATGGGTATACCAGAGTGTTAAGACAGCGCTATTATACAACTTTACACGTTTATATGATGTAATTCTTTCTTGGTTATGTAATGAATACATGTAAAGTTCAGTGATTAGTTTGACATCTCTTTCCTTAACGTGGAATAGCATATCTATTTCTTATTATTGCTAGACTATGGGCAGATATTAGTGCCAATGTGTAAATGCACATACAAGTAAGAAACTATCAACAAACTCTCTGACTATTAAAGTTTTGTAATACAAGGACCACTGTAACGATTTCAAGAGTGGATCAAGATGAATTTATTAAAATAATTGTTAACTTTTATCCTGACACATGCATTGTACATACAGAATTACTTAATTGAACACTTAACTAAGGTAAAAAAAAAAGCATTGTTAGAAAGAAGATACTGCAAGGATGATTCAGTAGAGTTATGAAATTATAAAGATGTACTCTCTTTCACTACTATTTGTTGAGTGTATTATAAATAAAGTTCTATGTTTTATTAAGGCAGAGTGTTTATATCTCCGAAAACCTATTTTACCGTAGATATTTATACATATTGGATTGTAAACAGCATTTAATAATAAGATTTTGCAAATAATAGATTGATATCACAGAATACAAATGTGTAGAACATAAAATGCAAAAGAAATACATATAAAATACATTACAAAAGAATTTTCTATTTCTTCAACACACTGGTTTGTACAATGTAAAAATAGTATATCTTTCCCATTCCAAGAAAATAAACAGGAGAATCATAACCTTAATATTTCGTACAAAATAATATATATACTGCAAAATTTTCCATTAAGAATTCTCTGTTTCCTTGTATCTGCAAATAAAATTATTTATTAATTAACAAAAAAGTATCAAATTAAATACAAAATTTATAAATTTTGGTAACAATATCCACAATACTATGTCAATAATAAACACTGCTATATGCAGAAACATACTTGCATTTGGTACATGTGTAAAACACAGTCTGTCCTTCATCAGCTGATCTCAATTGCAAAGTGGCATACGACATTTTATCATTTTGACATTGAGGACAGCGTCGTTCTACAACTGGTCCATCTGCGTCATCTTCACTATCATCTGCTTCTCTTGAGGATGAATAAGTATGTTTAGAATTAAAATTAATTGTATATGTCATTTCCATATCACCAAAAACTGCAATGCAAAATTGGGTATTAATTCAAAACTATTATAAGTTTTAAATTATTATTATTATTATTATTAATATTTCTAAACTTCGCATATAAAATGTGTTGTAAAATAATGGCTTTTTCAACTGTGATAAATATTATTATATTATTTGAAATATACCTTCAGAACCCCATTCTCTTTTGCACGCATAGCACATGACACCTCCTCTTTCGCCAAGTAAAGGTAAAATTGAACCGCAATCCGGACAGAAACCAGGTGCAGTGATAAAACAGCTATCTTTGATACTTGCCATTATTTAATGCGTATTTATTATACACAATGCAATCAATTCAAACAATATAACCTATAAAATGCACACTTGAATCCAACGACGCAGACGACGTGAACAAAAATGATTGTGTCACCATCTAACGGTAAAGACACAATATAACACTTTCTCTAGGCCGTACAGTAGCGCTAACGGGATCCATTTTAGAGCCGAACTACATAGCCAGATCCACTTTTTGCTGCCATGGTAAGACAGCCGATTGGTGCATGTCCGTGCTAGATCCATAACATATTTTAAAATTCATGTAATCATTTAATTCGAGGTTGATTGTACATTCATACAGATACATATGGCATGTAATATTGTACATAAAAAAATAAATATATAAGAAAACTATGTTTTATGTTTAATTATATTATACAAATATTTATTACGATCTCCTAGAAAATAAAAAAAGAAACATTTAATTTCAAGATGAACAAGTAGTAGCGAAGTGATTTATGCTTGCTTTGTGACAATGTAATTGTATCACTTCGTCTTATGACTGCAAAAATGACCGCTGGGATTGGATAGACGTGGTATGGCATAGAAACAATTTATTTCATATAAACATTTGATACAGTTTTAAAATTTTATTTGTAGAACTTATTCTTAGCAATGGTGTTAATAAAGCTAGCTCCTAAGATATAATATATTAGAGAAAAATGAATAGAGTGATCAAGATTCAAAATTCGGTTTTGGCATGATACTGTTAATCGACTTGGATACATATAGGAGATATGAAATAAAATCATTTACAAAAAAGAATGGAGAAGATAACTTTCGTCACTAAAATTAAATAGAAATTGTTGAACAGAATTTACGTAAAGTTTTGTTATTTTATCAAAATTTATAATCAATAATGAATAGTTCGCTGTACAGTAATTCTTTACTTCTCCGTTCAAAAAAATTATATTTCATTTGCAAATGATGAGAAAAATTATATTTCTGTCTATCGTTTTATAACAAAAAAACATACATAGGTACATGTAGCAAAAAGTCTAACAATACTTTTTGATTCCCTCAAACTTTATTTAGTGTGAAAACGCTAAATTTTCAAAATTAGGCCATACATTTTAAATGACAAATTGGCCATTAAGATGTTATTTTTATCAAAGCATATTTTCTATTTTCAATTTGCGTAAAAATACACTTGTCGTGAAATAAATATTTCGTTCTTTATTTTAGAATAGCATTAATTGTTGCAAGAATGGGAGAAAATAGCAGCAGAATATAAATTAGATGATGCAAATTGAAATTCAGTAAGAAAAAGGGAAATTATTGAACGAAGAGTTTGTAATTGTCCATTAATATAATGTTCGATATTTAGTAAGACCAATCTCAACTTTTCTATTAATTATTTTTAATTTATTTGCCAGAACTTTTCAGCAAGCTTTTCCAAGTTTCTTGAGCGAAATTGCTTTCAGGAGCAGCGTAGATTTATCCAGCATGCGGAACGGAACATCAAGAAAATCACGTTTCAATCATATTTTATGACAACTGTTGGAAATATAAAGTACGTGTTCTCGACCTATTATGGATAGCTGCTTGAAAATCTGTACTGACAATGATTTTATATAATTATGCTTGTTATTATTATATAATATAAGATATCTTACTTTAAATATACAATGAATATACATTTATGCTTAGATTGTGAAAATATCCTCGCGATCGTAACGCAACGTACACAAAGACGACTGTCGATAATTATCTCACACAGGAATTGTATTATTCTTTGTTATAATTACTTTTACACGTTAGCGTGCTAAGAGAACTTACAGTGATAATTGATAAGATTGTCGATTGAATCTATTCTACGGCGAGAATATTATCACAATTTAAGTATATCGTTAATTCGCTTTTTTTATGAATGGACTAGACTCGATTACTTATAATAATAATAGTAGTTTCTTATCATTAAGAATATTGCAGAGAAACGAGGATATTTTTCGCAAGCTATAACAGTAAGTCAGAAATATAGATGTACAAGATTTTGGCTCAAAACGAATTACTATCAGTGTGTCTCTTAATCTTTAATATTTCTTTTATCTTCTCTTCCTCATTCAAATTTATGTCGTGTCTATATCAAACGCGTCTATAATCTCTGTTTGATATACTTTTGTCTTATTTTATATAAAAGTCTAGAAGCGTTTAAGAAATTATATCGTGAAAAGTACAGCTTATCGCAAAGAAATCTAAATTATTAAATTGTATACTCAATCCGTATGTCGGCAGGCACACGAAGAAGACGTTAGGAAGACTCCAGTAAGATAAAATTAAATAAAGATTAATGATCGAGAAGTGCTTGAATACAATTTTTAAACGTATAAACTAATTTTTGAGAGTGTTATTTTATAAATTTTTTGCATTTGGCATTATGTTAATTACATTTTTCGATGAGCAAGATGTTCGCGAAATGACAGACATGTTTGATAGTAACAAGTTCCGATGCCATCTTGAGCTGCATTTAATTGCAAAGTTAATTAAAGTAGAGTGGGATGTTTAGATAATCGAAGATCAGGATGCAAAGACATCAGGCAAATCCAATTTTCGCGCATGTTACTGTAAAGCCGATAAAATCCAAGATGTTTCGAAATTTTGTTTCATTTCTATAAAATTAAATAATGCAGTTTTTGCATTCTTCTATGTATCTTTCTTCAATATATTTCTATTCGTTAATTATTAACATTAAGAAACGCATAATTCTCATATTAATTTATAGATAAAAATTTCACATACAATTGATTCGTTAAAAAGAACGCTTTTGCCTAGTTTTTGCATCAGATATTACAATTATGTTAAAAATATAGACACATATTTCGTACATATACAAAAAGTACGATGTGTTATTAAGAATAAAACGCATAGGAAACGGAATTCGCTTATTATCTTTAATAGGGAGAGGGGTGCGTTATTTTTGTACAACGCGCCTGATACATCCTACATATTACAGTTAATAAATAATGCGATGATTCGAGAAGTATGGAAGAGAATATCTAAATATATATCTCGCTCTCTTTAACTTTACTTTTACCACTTTGATATGCGGTTGCAGATATGCAAAGTTATGCTTTTTTTAGAAGCGTGTGAGAATAACAGCTCTTTCAATATTATCTTAAAAATAGCTTTCTTTTCTTTGTGCTCGGGTAATATTCGCTCGAATTTTCGCTTTCGTCGTTGTGATTCAATGAGTTCTCGAAGATTTCCGTGACTTTGCAAGTGAGAATGCACCTAAAATTATTGGAAGGCCCATCTAGCGTCGCTAAACACGAATTATACGCGTATACATAAATAATATATATAAATTAATTAAGTACAAAAATTACAAACTTATTAACAAAATATTGGCAAGACAGTGGTTCAGCCGAATTAACGGGCTACAAATATCGCATCACTTTCCGTTCTCTTACCAATTATCTAACGAGATTCTCACCGCCTGTAAGAGAACTCAAATAACTCAAGGAGCACAAAGCTTCGTATCAATTCCCATTACAATAGCCGATTAATCGAAATGTAAAACTACGATCAAAATATTATTCTTTGCCAAGAATTTTTAAATTTCACCTTGGCAGTTTCTTATATATTCGACATTTTTTCGTACAAAATGTTTTATATTGATATTTTCAACATAATATTCATTGCTGCATTTATAAATACGACTTCACAATGTTGTAGCAACAAATACTATAAAAAAATACTGATAAAAATAATTTTTAACAATTCTATTATTTCATAATGTCTTATTTTGTTTGCTATAAATAAATTTTGATCTTTAAAATTATAGCGCGATTAATCGACAAATGTGAACGAGAATTTCATCCTTTTTTTCAACCTCTACTTACAACCCATTAATTATCGCGAATTATTATTCGAAATAAATATGCAGGAAGCCAAGAGTCGCGCATGAATAGTGAGTTTATTTAAAAACAGTTTAGTGAGAGATACTGGAGTCTCAATTTTTATAAAAAACTCGTGTAAAGTGAAGAGTAGTTTTATCGTAAAAGGAAGAGAACATATTTTACATTTTTGCCTTATCCTGGCAACAGGAATTCCGCTTCAATACATATAACTGAGAAGAATTGATTTGCTTATATGTATATATGTGGAATGTTGATAGTGTGTGTTTCTTTTTACTTAAACAAGACTATCTGCTCGCTTATCGTAATAACAATCTGCTCGAGACATTTTTGAAACCGTCGTTTCTTACACTGTACGCATCCTTGGAACGTCCTTGCAAAAATTCACCTCTCGTTAAAAATCAGAACACTTTCTACTTTCATTCGTAAAAGGTCAATCTCATGTACTTCTGCATTTATAATTCGTATCACGACATACCGCTCGCATTCCTCACAATTCCTCGACGAGTTGCCTTATCGCCATTCTATGTCAATAAATATTACGCTCAAATACGTCTTCTCTCTGAAGAATATCGTTTAAATTACCTAACACATATCACAGAATCCATATCCTCTTTTAGAAGAAAAAGAATTATACAAACGCAATAGCACGGGATACAAAAGCATTAGTATTAAGTAGAATTATACAAATACGTCGACGCATTATTGATACAAACTAAAGTTGCGTATGTTGCGCTTGTCCAAGTCCGATCAAAATGACAAATTTTGTGCCTTCAGATATAAGTTTACTGACTTTGCCGGTTTTTGGTTCAAAGAAATATCATTCATTACCCCATCTTGCTCCAATGTTTAGGCAGTGATCACTATCCTACTTCGCTATATTTTCCCATCCATTACAGAACAGAAGTGAAATCGAGGAAATACGCACCGTTCGTTGTAATTGTAAAAATTAAAAAAGTTTTGAAGAACGTAATAAGATACACATTGGAACTATACTTTTATCATATTATTTAATGAATCGCTCTCAATTCGTATCTTTTCAAGCACGTAAGTTTATTACAAGATAAAAATAATTCTGCATTTCTATATAAGAACATAAATTAAAAGTTTATTTATTTTTATATAAGAAAATAAGGTTAAATCGCGATAAATATCTGTGCGTTTATTTTCAATGCTTAATCTTTGAAAATAAAAATTTATTTAAAAGTTGAATTTCCCAATTTTTGTGTCCATTCTGTAATGAAGTGTTATTGCTACTCGTCGAGCAATCGCTGCGTCTTACAGCGGCGAATAAATAAAATCGCAAGACGCCTTGTGATCGCTGCCCCTCAAGCATACAAGCGCGCGATCATGTATATGCATTCAAACCGTGAATCCTGAAGAACATCCACTTAATCGGTATCGGTACGGATAAATTAATGCAATGAAAGTTATGTAATAATAGATTGGTTATTAGCTCTGTAGTGAGTATGTTACAATACTATACGAATATACTTATTTCTTTAAATCGACATTATCTGTATGATACAGTGACGGGTTTTGGGATCCGCCTCGACGAAAACATCTCAGAGATATCTGCGAAGAAAATGCGCAATTCAGATGCATGATAAAATTTCACATTGACGTAGAATTTTTTTCAACACATATCAGCCGAACAGTCTAAAGGCAAAAGACCTACCTTCGTCGTTGATACGAAGCGACGCCGAAGTTACAAAGGGACTATTGGTTGAGCAGGGTGTTAGTCACCTCAGAGATGGACAACAGAGGACTCCCGGCGTCCGGTTTGGAATCTGTGGGACAGTTGGGCCCATTGCCGCCGTTGCCACCGCTGACGATCCCACGTGATGGTGGTGGTGCGGAGGATGGTACAAGACGTTGCTGTTGCTGGTGCTGTTGTCCACTCCGGTGCCCATGCCCATGCCTGCTCCCACCCCCGTCCCCGTTCCCGCAGCTGACGGTGGCGTGCTGCAACCAAATGGACGGTCTCCCCGTTATCTTACGTGTACTAATTATACTTCTCTTATTTTAGATACAGTGACACAGCGCCGAGCAGTCCGGTCGGAACTCCGCTATTTAGATATCACTGAGAGAAGACAAGAGCTTTTAATAATTTTCGCTTGTTTACCTAAAACATTGATTGCTTCGATATCATGAAAATTAAGTATCGCATATATTATTTATACGCAAAATCATAAATAAGCCGTCGGCTTATGCTTTATCTTTGCGGCATGCTTTTCTTGGAAAAACAAAATTGTGAATCGGATGTAGCTTCATAATCTTATAAAAGTTACCGTCATTTTTCTTATGCAACACTTGCGTGCTTGGGATTATGTACTTTGTGTTCATTGATTGATGACGTTGTTACCAAACAACTGCTCAAATTGCGATCATATTGGTGAAGTTCAACGCTGATCTAATGATTTTTACAATAGTAAAGCAGTGAGCTTTATAAACAATCATTGAAATTATGTAGAAAACAAGTAAAAAAAATCGTTCAAAGTAAGTTCAACCATGCATTTATTTTTGGTCACGATATACCAAGTGGACAAATATATTTCATATTATACTTGCAAAAATTACTATTTATACAAATATCTACAAAGGTATATATTTTCAAATAGTATATTGTACAGTATACTGATGACAAAAAGATTGTCCAATTGGTAAGTGTGTGCAAGTATGCAAAATTTTTCGAATTTTGACATTCGATTCGGTTCTCTTCGAGAGTTTGGTCATCTTACCCTAAACGCCGATGAAAAATTATAATAAAATCTGTGAGGCAGCAGTGACACTCACTGGGGCGTGTGCCTTGGTGGTGCGGGGTGGTGATGGTGGTAGGGATAGTACTGGTAGTGATGGTGTTGCACTCCTTGCCATACCTCGGAGCCCGCTTCCCCGTGCCCGCCATGGCCCGGATGAGAGTGCGTGTAACCGATGGTGCTGGCAGCGGCAGCGGCGGCCGCGGCGGCTGCTGCGGCTGCCTGGTATTGTGATGTAGTCACTGGATATTGCTGATGTTGTTGTTGCTGCTGCTGCTGCTGCTGCTGCTGTTGATGATGATGTTGCTGCTGTTGTTGCTGCTGCTGAGATTGTTGCGCTTTATTGTTCCTCGGGGGACTCGATGCGGTCACTTGTTGATCCGTGGGTGAGGTTTGCCGCCATTTGCAGTCTCCGTTCATGGAGTTCATCTCCGCCAGCGACTTGAGCGGATCGCCGGTAGCGTTGGTCGAATGCGTCGACGAGTGTGTCGAGTGCGGCGTCGGCGGGCTGTAGCTGCCGTTGTTCCTAGGCGGTGTGCGCGACGGCGGTGCACCCCACATCAGCACGGTCTGCCGTGGCGCTTCGTTGCTATACACCTCAGACTTCACGTCCTCCATTTTCGGCGTCAAGACGCCGTTGGCCGCGCCGGTCACTGGCGAGCTGCCAGCAGAGTTACTGGACGACGCGCCACCCTCTAGCGAGTGCCTGCTCCCGGCACGTACGACGTTCATGTCGGTCGTCGTCGGATGCATCGTGGATGCGCTCGCCACCGGACTGGCGGCGTACGGCGAACCGCTCACGCTGCCGGGGTGTCTCGTCTCCACGTAGCTGTACTTGGGCGACTCGCCGCTGCCGAGTTGCTGGCAGTAAAGTTTATCTTCCGTTTTGCTAGCTAACTGGTGAGTCTCGTACGTGGGCAGCGACACGTCGATGAAACCGTTGTACGCGGTGCCGGTGTGGTACTCCGGATAGTACGAGCCCAGCGGCCTGTATTGAAATAAGTTCTCCGTAGCTGTAAGATACCTGAACAGAGAATATTCGGTTACAATGTGAAGCTTTTTACTACCTTTTACACCGCAAATGATTTCATATTGCAACTCGCCTCGGCATATTTTAAGCGCTTCAAAGGATTTGACTTTATACTTTTGCCGAAATTAAATTTACCTATTGTCTAACGCGGTCGTCGGATAGAGAGTTTGATGGTAATTGCTCGTGTGACCGATGTAAGTTGTCAAAGATGGGTCAGTGCTGGCCGCCACTGTGGGCGCATACGGCGTCGGGTACATGGTGTTCAGATTGCTGTACGCCGCCGCGACCGCAGCTGCTGCGCTGGTGTCCGCCGCAAGATAATCCACGGATGCCACTGTGGGAGTCACGGGCGGCGAGACTGACGACTGAGCGGAGAGTTTCGTGCGTTTGCTTCGGCACGTCGAGAGGAAGTCTCGGAATTGTGCCTTGTATCGCCTGTTCACTCTCTGCGGCGCCGGCTGCGCTGGTAACGTCGGCGTCATAACTGATCCGGTCAGATTGTCGCTGTCCGAGAAGTAACTGTTGGTCAATCCGGCGTCCAGATAGCTTACTTTGAAGTCCATCGTACGTTTGCCGAGAAGATCTCTACCTTCCTCTTCCCTGAAACGCGAAACTCTATTAATATCGCCGTTCAATTTATTTTCACACCAATATTAACATATCATCGCAACTTACATAAGAGGTCGATGAGTGCTTAGTACGAAGTCTGGTTTTGAGTTTTTATAAACTAGCCTAGAGCTAGTCTGCAGCCACTGCCACCCGCCGTCCTTTGTTTGAAATCTGTAGGCTATCATCCCTGACGCACCGGTTTTTAATACTGAAAAAAAATTAATTCATGTATTTAAGTTGTCATTGTGTTAAAATCCCTTGAATATTTGATTCCGTAAAATAATGCAATAATGTTTCGGCAAAAAAAACCAGTATCTCAAATCAATATTTCGTGTAAGATAATTAACAAGTTTATATTACTCTGCTTTCAGTTGCATCTTACGCATTATAATTTTAATTTGTGTAATATTATCGTCAATAACAACAATAATTTCAAAAAAATCTCTAAAAATGCATTGAAAAACGTTCGTAATGGACTTACATTCTTGATGCGCACTAGCAACGTAAGCCAAGTCGTCGTAATGAACAAGATCATAGCCACCGAGATTCGTTAGTTCCGCGTCGGAATAGCCTAACAGCATTTTTCCTCTCTGATCCATCGTCACAAGCGCGAGATCCAGCTTGTGCTTGCTTTTGAACATCACTTCCTTCTGCGGCACCTCCAGAAGCGAAGGAGGTCCGAACGGCGTGCACAGAGCAAATAGCGCAAGCGGCGGCTCTTCCGTCTTCCGGTTTTGACCGTGAAGTATCTTAACTCGACCCCTGATGTCCAGACGCTGCAATGAATTAATAATTGTTACAATAAATATAATATTTTGAACTCGGGAGATTTGTAATTAATAATCAAATAGTTAATTTTTGCAAATGTTATCCGTGAAATTATGATACAAAAATATCATCTAGCAAATAAATTATGAATTTTAATTATTCAATAAATTTTTTAGTTTTATGAGGCCTTAATTTTTTATAATGATTGAAATAATGTTACAATATATTAAAACGTCTATAAGCGTCAAATTAACATTGTTAAATACAAGTATTACAGCACAAAAAACTTGCGTCGGCCTAATAGCATATTTATTCAATTATTTTAATTATTCAATTTATATAACAATATCATGTGCAATCGAAACTCTAAGCACGTTATATTAATAATGTTCAATGTCAATGTTCCTATGTTCAAGTAATTAAAATTCATAGCTTAGATACAGAGCTAATTAAATCAAAGAATAATTAATGAGCCTTTTTAAAAGCACACATTAATATGTTATTATAATTTTTTGAAAATATTTTTTACACATTATAACCTTCTTTATTATTATTATATTACGTTTTTTTAGAATGCGTCTCTCATAGTTTATGGGAGGAAACATTTCGCATAACGTCTGATGATGGGTGCGGATGACAGATCGAGGTCGCCCGCGGTGTTCGTAAGAGAACAGAAGGTTCGACGTAGATCCTCAGCGCAAAAAAAGGAGCGTACAGTAGCTAGGTCGACCCGGTGCATCCCGTCGCGCGAGGGATACCGCCAAGGGCGGAGGCAGGCTCCCGAAGGAGGCGAGCCTCTTGCGCCGTAAACTCTTTTACGATTACAGTTTCATTTTCATAAACGTCAAAGCGGCACCGTTTTTGCCCGAACTCCTCGAGACGCACCGCGGAACTTGTCGGCCGCGGCGAACCAACGAACGCGGAACTCCACTCGCTCTCGTCCCCGTCCTTTGTAGGATAAAACCGCGCCGTCCCGTGTCCTCCGCCGCGCGCGTTCGCGGTGTGTGTTTGCCGTAAGATAATTAGTGTTTTGCCGCGTCTTCGTACCCTCCCTTCCCTTCGCTCTTCCACTCCTTTCTCTCCCCCCCGAGGAGAGCCTGGTTTTGTTTGGCCCTTGATTTATACCTTTTCTTGAACGCCGTCGGGACAACGGTACCAACGATGGACAGCTTGGCCGCCCGGACGAATTATCGTTTCAATCTCCGCCGCGCTGTCACGGTTCATTGGCTGGGCCTATGATTATACACGTCCAGCCTTTGCACGGGGGAATGTCGGCCCCGCAGCCTAGATTTAAGGCTGTTGACGTAAGTGCTATTCGAAATTCTCGGAGAAATTTCATAAACTCGGAGAAAATTCGTAAACACCGGATGTTCCGTCGAAAATAGATTTAAATTAAGGCCGAAATTAAATAGCAAACTTGTGTTTAAATTAACTGTACTTTCTCATTATTACGTACAACTAAATAAATTGCAATTGCAATTCAGTTGTATTCAAATCGTATGAATTTCTGCAAAATTACGGAAAGATCCTTCCCGTGTAAAACACTTGGTGCGCAACAATCTTGTACGTGCCTTCCCGGTTTTGCTCGGCGGCAGGTCGAGAGGGTAAGTAGGAAACAAGCCAGGGAGGAAGGATCGGAAGAGACGGTGGACGAGAAGGTTGGTCGATGGTCGGAAAAAAAGCAATTACGCGAGAGCAGGGGAAACGGTGGCGGCGCGAGCGGGGAAGAATTCGCTCCTCTTCTCTTTATGACAGTGAAATTATTAATTACTGTTTTGTATGCCGGCACATTGCTTTTGTAACCGTGAAGGAACGTCGCCCTGGCTCCTACCTGGCTTAATCTCCTTACCCCGAGGCAACCCGGCACACACATGCCATTTATTGTAATTACCTGCCGCAAACATTTTCAGATCATTTATGTGCTTTCGCGAAAGCAAGCGGAGCGCCTAGAATTAATTTCGATTGCACTCGTAACACCTTGTCGTTTCGGAGCAAATATATTTTATAAATAAATTAACATAAATCAGTCATTAAACTTTTACACTTATTAATTTTTCAATTACTATTTTCAATTGTTTGAAAAATTAAAATTTTATATAGCCAAATTCGTTTTTGTCGATGAATTGTGTGCTAGCTGTACAATTAAAATTTTAAAATATATAAACCGAAATGCAGAACAAAACAATGCGACATAAAGGTGTGTATACGTACCAGAAAACCGGATGTATTGTCCAGGAGACAACGGAAGCGAACCGTGAAACTGCGCTCGAGTAGATGACAATGCTGGGGCGAGAGTGCATCGTGTAACGGCAAACTTGCGCTTTCGGCGGGCAGGAAAGAATTCCACATTAATTGCCGCTGTAATTCCTCTCGGTCTTCGCTGTGCACCAATTCGTAGACACTTTGATGGACGATGTCAGACTGAAAAAAAAAAAGAGAATATTTTGTGTTAATATTACACGTTTTCAGCTATAAATCTTACAGTTGTCTATTTCCAATTTTAAATAAGCTAAACAAGCTTCTCTTGTTTTTTAATATTCTTTTGCGTATCACAATGATTTTCTGCTAACATAAAGAAAAATAACATTCGCTTATTCACGGTATACGCAATACAGATTTGATTGAGTCCATACATAATTAACGCTCGTTTATTCGCAGTTTAGATACCGACTATAAAACGAGTTAATAATAGTCCTCGAGTTCTTTACTTCGCGAGCACCTGACATTCACGTTTATCCAATCTAAGAATTCGTGCATACATTCTGTCGTGTGTCACGAACGTGCGCGAACCGAGCCATTATTTACGATTAATTCTTCGACTACTGTTTTCTTCGTGTCAGCCTCGTCGGAATCTCGCTTACGTTAACTTCATACGGGGATCACAGTGCGTAACAGATCGTCGTAAAACAGTCAGATTTGTCCAAACTTAAAATGAATTGGAAGTAGTTTCTGTAAAATTTATTAAGCTATTCCGCACTAAAACCATCATTTATTAAGGCAGAAAAAAGATATCTCTGAATTTTAATCACTTTGAAATACAATTATAGTATTAAAAGACTAATTAAAGAAATTCTAGAAGTTAAGTGTTTCAAAAAATTTGCAAAATTCTGAATATTTTCGAAAACATATTGTCAAATCTACATTTTATTAAAAAATTATAAAAAAAGAAATATCATTTATAATTTTATAAATAGCTATATTAAAACATTCATAGTAAGATAACTTTGTGTGATGTTTTTAAATTAGAACTGTAAACACATTTCAAAGTACTGATATTTTGAAAATACTAGAATGATATTGCAGAAATATACTGAATCCAAAATCTAAAATCACGCTTTACTAAAAACTCTTGGCTCTTTCTTGAAAAATTAAAATTAAATAAACATTGCATATCTCATTGTTACAAACAAATTATATTTCTTCGTTGATGCATTAAATAATAATTTATAGAATATTAAGATTTTGCAAAAATATTAATTACACTAATAAACAGTTTTTTTTATTGAAATCATGTTTTACTAGAAAAAAATTAAAATTTGTTTTTAAGAGTTTTATTAACCATATCATTTTTAGGTCCCTGTTAACAGCTTTACATTATAATCTTCCCAACAGCAGAGTGGCGCAGTGGAAGCGTGCTGGGCCCATAACCCAGAGGTCCGTGGATCGAAACCACGCTCTGCTAACATCTTTTTTTTCTCTTAAAATTAATCATATGTATTATTTTTAAATATATATATACATATTTCTTAAATTTATTTTAATGCAATTTATAATTATTGATTTTTGCTGACATTATTGTTCCACATATTACGAACAATACTCTATCTTTACATAAGTCTTTCAATTTTGCAATGTTTGCAAAATTTCTAAATTTTACATGAAGAAATTGTCATTGATTTATATCGATAGCATTATAAACCAAAATATTGTTAATTTAAAAATTTATTAATTTGCAAAAAAATCGGTAACATTAACAAAATTAATTCAAAATCTTTTATTCTTCAACAAAATAACTTTATCGGGATAAAAGCATCTTGTTAACAATCTAATATATATCTATTCTAATATAAATATATTTTAAAGCAAAAAATATCGAAGAATTGTTAGAGTATCGTAAGCACTTCGAGGTAAAAGTTTAGATATTATTGCCAAAATTCGCGATTGCTTTCTTCAAACGCTTCGCACAACACGAATTAATGCCATTATAAAGTTAAAATGGAAAAACTTGAGAAACGGCGAGCACGATCGATGCTTTCTCGCGCGAACGGCGTCGTCGTCGACGTCGGACGTACCGTTCCGCGCAACTTTTCTCGCAGCTCTCGTAACCAGCAACGGCGCGGTTAAACATAGAAGTCGTGAGATCGCGGTGCAGCTGATATACACCTAGACACGAACGTAAGTACGCCCGTTGTAACGCGCGAGATACACCGAGCAAGCTCGCGGTCAGCAAGCGAGCTCGAAACGTAGCAGCTCGGAAGTCGCTTCGTATCGTTTTCTATCCGCTGTGATTTATTATATTATTCGCGAGACACCGAGAACTCGGGCTGACAGGCATGACCAGGTAATGGCCAGAAGAGAGAACGAGTCAATTCGATCTGTTCGAGAGCTCCTTGAATCCGGTCTAGGTTCAAGCGCAAGAGGGGCTGCACAGGGGAGAAACGACGGATGCGTGCACACGGCGCCGATTATCGGATTAAAAGTCACGCGCGCATTACACTTATCCGCTTCTAGCTCGACCTGGCCGAGATCGCTTTCTGTTACGCGCAGGCCAGTGATGCAAAGTACAAGGTGCTCGAGCACATTCTTTGAATACCGATACGTGAATATTTTTGCCACGAACATATATAATTTATCTAGGTGTATTTTTTGCAGTACCGATTCTGTAACTCGACTTTCGCACATATTTCATAATTCTGTGTCCAAAGTTCCATCACACGATGTGACGATACCATTCTATTGATTTAGATATGCTGTAAATTATTTGTCTTTTTTGTGCTCCTTTTCGTGAGTAGAGAGATTATTATTATAATTAAAAAAATTAATAAGATAAACGCTTTAATTATTTCGAGATGCACGAGCTAAATTCAGCTGGTTATACATAACGTAGAAAATTGTGTTTCTCTCGTGCGCGGGCTCATCGCTCTCGCCGGAGACTAGTTCGGATTAATTATGCGCGATAAAGTGCGTCGAACACGTGTAGTTACATGTACCCTACGCGAGCTTGTGTCGCAGTACGCGACGTCACGACCGATCAGATATTTTCTAAAATAATGCCACTCCGTTTGTCGTACATCCTACGTTCAACGATGGGTCTCTTCCTGTTTTAGCACTCGTATCATCCCTGAATGCTCGTTGCGTTTAGTTTATCTTCTGGCCGATATAAAGATTACATCCGAACTCAAAGGAATGTAAAAAATCTGCTACTTAATAATTATTGCAATAATATAATAATTATAAATTAATTAATTATGATTTTAATTCGCAGCGAAATTTCGCGAGACAGTTGCTTTAAATATATAAAAATCTTTTACATCTAACATGCGTATTTATCACGAGCATCTGTTCGTGACACAAAAAATTTTATTTTAGAAATTATGATACGGCCGACCAATACTCCACGCGTACTACTTGACGCTCCTTCCAGCGCAAATTAAAATATCGCCGCAATAAAAAGGCCGAACACGTAACGCGCTCGAACTCGAGGCGAATGAAATAATGTACATTAATGTGTCATCACCCTATATATAAGTTTATTAAATTCATTAACGATGCGTGCACGGCTCACTTAAGCTCCGAGCGCAGTGACATCGAGGCTCGCGTCGCGCGCGCATACATCGCGGCACGGTGAATTATAATTGCGCAGGCTGGATGCAAAAATCTAGGAGCATTTGATACAAGCGCAATCTCATCGAGAAACGCTTCTCTCGGCGTGCTGCCGCCGATCGTAAAACTTCGAATCTCAATAAATATGGTGAAAAGGGTTTCCGACGAAACTCGCAGGTAAGCGAGAGAGATGGGAGTCCCTGCGAGGAGGCAAAGCGAGTCCCCGGCTCGCCGTGGGATCCAATGAATTCGAGGCACAGAGCCGTTTCCCTCCTTTTTCTTCTTCTTCTTCTTTCTCGTCTTCTTCTAGCTGCAACCCCCGCTGCGAGCTCGCGAGAGCCGCTCTAATTTTAATTAAGGGTTACACACGATTTCCGTGGTAATTGCCGTCCGTACCTGGATACGCAGTGAACGTGTAATTGCTCGACTATATTCCTCTTTCGTCCTGTGTCGTCCTTTCGTTTCCACCGCGGTACGCGTGTATATATCAGGACGAAAATAGACTCACTTGTAATTCTCATTGATACACGACACGGTCGATTATTCCTGCGCGCTACTAAAACGGCTTGTTTATTTCGCGGTTGATCGTAGAGTTTTATCAATGAGGATAAATAAATTTTTCTTTCCATTGGATATTTGATGCCTTGTAGAATTCAATCCTTTCGAATTTATAATTCAGTATTTATTAAAAGAGTGATTTCAATTTTTTAAGCTATAATTATTACATGCAATTAGAAGTTAAAGAATTTTAATGAATTAAGCTGCAAACATGGATAACAAATTCATTTCTTGTTTAATTAAGCTTTATCTCAACAAATTTAAGATTTAGATGCCACAATATTTACTAATAGATATAAAAAATTTGCAAAAAAAACTGAGAGAAAGAGAGACTAAAAATTTTAATATAATTAAGTCAATTTTAAAATCTCTAAAGAATACACGGGCAATATGCATTTTGTGTCACGCAAATATAATAGAACTAATTCCATGATTGTATTGAATAGAATTATGTTTATCATGTGCTATAAATTATAATCGCAATGAATAACCAATTTGTTGTTTATTGCGTTATTGTTCATTGATTGCCGTTATTACCTTTTGCCGTTTAGTTTAGAGAAGAATACCGGGTAGAGTTTTCTAGGATACGTTGTTTTGCATAACGTGGTCGAGGTCAGGCGGTGTATTTTTAACCCCCCAACTATATATGCGATCCGCTGCGCGCACAGTCGCATTCGATCTAATACTATCGCCGTTCGTCGATATTCCAAATTGTACAAGCTCTCTCGCGTCGACGAAAACAAATAAACGCCGGGGCGCGATTTGCCGACGTATCTCGCGCGCGATTCCGAGCGATTATCCAAGTCCTTCATTAAAATCATCGATCGATAGCGGCAGGCCGAAGTGTAAATTGCCCTTAACGCCACCGCGCAGGACTTATAAACGGCTCACAATCACATCTTACGTCGTAATAGTTTGTCGTCACGTACCTACGCATAATAAGGCCTCTCCAATCTGGGCGATCGCTCTCGTTAAGTGGCCTAATCACAAATTATATTTTAATCGCTGCTCGATATAGGGCGCCCTCTCTCTCTCTTTCT